TTTATACTAATTTGTTCTCATTATATAATTATTAAACAAACATATTCAAACAAAAGGTGGGGAAAAAAACCAAGACTATTTTATCAAGAAGATTAAGAACTGAGGAATGCTATCAAAAGGCTCTCTCGTGACAAAAGCGATGATATTTTCACATTTAATCATTAGATTGATATAATTTTTTGAAAAGTCAAATGAATCATTTAATACATCTTTCAATCCATTAGTTAAATGTGGAGAGCTCATAGCTCGTCATGAGGGGCTCTCTCAATAGCATTATTCAAGAACTTCCCGGAAGAAAAAAGAAGATAAAAGAACAGAAACCTTTATCTTTTTATGTTCTTGTTTTGTTGCAGATAACAATATGAATTGTATTAGTGTTAGATTTTTGTGGTTGTGAACCAAATAATTGCTGGGATGAGGGGCCTTTTGGAGTCGTCGAGATAGAAAGGCTCCGTTCTCTTAGTGGTGAAGAAGGGTTTTCTAATTACCCGGGAGAAAAAAGAAGAGGAGCTTTCTTTCTCAGCTTCTCGTTCTCTTTATAATACAGAAATAGAAAGAAATAGAAAGCCAGGGTGCTCTTTCAAGATCAATTCTGGCAATTATTTTGAAAATATTAATTGTTTCAAACAACAAACAACAGCAGCTCACTAGTGACCGGAATCAACTCAGATGGAAATTGTTGTATAAAAATACTCCATTTTCCTTATGGGTAAGAATCCTCTCCAATGCTGGAGAGGATCCTGTACTCTACCAAGGGTGGAGATTGGACCACCAGGGATTGGTTCTAACAGATCAAATGTAAAATATATTTAATAACTTAACTGGACGGGAGAAAAAATGGAGAATTTCACACTATTCAAAACTATAATCTCTTTCATGTAATTTGCCGAAAAAATATATATTAATATATATTTTCTCATGTACATCTTTGGAAGACAAAAGTCATGTATTACTTGCATCTTTTTGTTTCACAAGTTGAAGCTCTAATTTCATTTGTAAACACGTACAATGATATGCAATGGTTGTTTGACTGGGAACAATCTGGTTGGTGGTAGCATGGTTATCCAGGGGAAATCATATAATTTTCTTGCTAGGGTTTTGATTATTTTACCATTGATCTTATAGATGCCATAAGTATTGATGTTTACCATACATTAGTAGTATTGGTAAATAGATTCTATATGATATATGATAATAAGAGATTTTAATTTTCTCTACATGTGCTCCATTATTTTTGTTATTGCTGCTGTCCTTGTTATAAGTGAAAAACAGACCTTGTGGCTTTATTGTTTGGTACATTGGATCTTATCTTCCCGTGCCATTGTCTAATTTATGAGCTCTTGGCAGATCGGGTCTCACTTCTTGACAAGTGTATTTTTATGGATTATGTCGTTGTTTTTTTACACTTCGTGCGAAAATAAGAAAAATCTGTAAAAATTAAATTAAAGATAGTATAGAATAAGCAGGGTCGAACCATACAAGATTTAAACTCGTTAATCAAAATTAAAACCAAAATTTAAAGAAGAATAACTTTAAAACAATTTAATAATTTTTTTGAATGAACTAAAAATAAAATAAATAATTAAGACAAATAAATTATGATCAAATAATAAGAAAAGTCTCAAGGAAAGAATCCACCACCACAACTTACTATAAATAAATTTGTATATTTCTTTTATGTAAATTTTCCTATTATAAGTAAATCACTTCACCAGTCCAATTACAACTCGGAAAGATGAAGGAAAATAATAGCGTGAAATTACAATTGCTTGCGAACGTATTTTACTTAATCTAATATATCTTTGGTAAGTAGAAATAGGCATTATCCGAATTACCATTAATTGGCAAACACGAAGAATCATTTTCCTAATTTTTTTTATCAAAATAAGAACACATAATAGGAGAGTAAAATAATAGAAGAAAAAATTTCATAAAAGAATTAAACTAAATTTACTTATATTTCAGCCATGGTGGCTTCATCACTCCCTTGAAAAGGGGGTGTTTAAGCTAGCATAATAAGAAAACAAAATAAAGAAATAAAAATAATTTTTATAACAAAAATTATAAGAAATAAACTGAAGACAAAAATTCTCTCTAACTTTTATTATTTTATCCCACTAATAATGTACATCAACCTCCTCTACATATGTCTCTATTTATAGAGTTTAGAATGGAACGATCGGGAGGAGAAAATTCTAGTTACAAAAGTGAAAATAAAAATAAAATAAAATAAAATAAAATCTTCCTAAAATCTTGCTGCTTCCCAATTTGGTCTGATCTTTGACTTAACGTGCTTTCCAATCTGTCTTGATATATTTTCCAAATTGGCTTGATCTTTGCTGATTTAATGAAAAAGACAATTTCTTAAGTTGACTTTAATTGATAGTATAATCCCACATTTCTGCTATTTTTGTTTCTTTTCTTTTTATTCCGAAATGAGCCCCTATAAAACATGAAAAGCAGGGATAAGAACAGTTATCTAATAAAAAATATTAATTAATCATTTATTATAAAGTATAAAATAACAAGTTTGTGCACTTATCAAATTACCCCCAAACAAGCTTTTGCTAGTCCTCTAGCAATTAAAGGCAAAAAGAGATAAGTTTACAAAATTGTTACTTTAATTGACTCTTGACTAAAAATATGCCACTTTCGCAGGCTACTTTCGATTGCATTTACCATATGCAATAAGGCCTTAAACCCCTAGGTTACCCTAGTGGACAAGCTATAGCCTCGTGAGAGTTTTCAGAGATGATACCTACAAACATCCAAAATTGTGCACACTTTGCACTTAGCTCAATTACTTCCATGCTATTATGTCAAGTATAAGAAAGATTAATATTCTCTAGCAATCCTAAACCTCTAATTACATGCAATAATACTATGGTCCCCACACAAAGTTCAATTCAACATATTTCCAACAACAATCCATCCCTAGTTTCCTTTTGAAGTGAGCTAACATCCAATTATGTGTTTTACCCTTTTGTCCTTATATTACACATCACAATAGTTTCAAATCATTAATATTCCCATCCAAGTTAGAATACCCAAGGCATGAACTCATAACTTTACTTATGCATATGAATCTTTCATCTTTCTTTCTTCCATCATCATCTTCTTCTTTTCTTTTCTTTTTCTTTTTCTTCTTCTTCTTCGTCTTTTTTTTTTTTTTTTTTTTTTTTAAGACAGCAAGCTGTGCAATGTTTAAGTCCCTTAAGCTTTCTAGATGACCCATGTAACGAGCTTTAGGCTAATGACTCCCAACTAGACGGTTTTAGGGCATTAGGTGTAAAGACACCCCAAAGAGTTTATTAACTCAAGTCAACTAGGCTTCGAACCTAAACCAACACTTTCATTTTTTCCTGACCCTCCACTTTTTGACGCGAACACTCACTACTTACTGAGGCAAGAGGCCCGGTTACTTCGTAAAAGGTATTAACTAATCATGCACATTTCTCTATCAACATGCCAAGGACATCTACTTTTCAAGGTCTACTAACTTGTATCCAACACATGTAATATATCACATAAGGTTAGGCCTATACCCCACAAAAAGATACTAGTGTGCATTTGTGAGAAGTGAAGTACGCTAGAGACTAATTATCATTAACAATAGTCAAACTGGACAATGATGTGGACCACATATACTAAAACATGAATTAAAGATTCAAAACTGCTCTAAAATACCAATTCCCAATCATACATGAACAATAATTCACCCAAATTTGACATGACATGCAATTCAACTTATAATTTCCATTGAAGCAAGATCATTGCCCCACCCCCAAACAAAAGACAACACTGTCCCTAGTGTCGGAACCAAAGAATATGGAAATTAAATAGACAAGTATAGGTGGAGATATATAGAGAAACATTGGAACATATTACCTCACTTGTTTCGATGTGGAGTACAATTTCTGCAAAGAGGTTATGGAAAACAATCGAAAACCATATCAGATAAATATAGCACCCCCAAACAAAATATAACCATATTCAAATACTAAACAGTTACGGAGCTAACGAGTAGGAGTGAGATATAACTGGTTAAGACTCAAAAATCAATCCAAGGTAACTGAATAGACACAACCGGTTGGGTTGCCTCCCAAGAGCACTAAATTTAAGGTCTTCAGCCAGGCACAATGGGGAAAGTTCCCCCAAAAGAGATTAGTCCAAATAGACCGGATTGATGAGGACAATGTCCTCAATGACATGAGCCTCAAACTCAAGGAAATGTTTTAAACGATGAGCATTGACTTTAAATAGCTTTCTAGTTTTGGGATCTTGTACCTCAATGGCACCATGACTTGCAATATGGTGTACATAATATGGACCAGACCATCATGACCTCAACTTCCCAGGAAACAATGCAAGACGGGAGTTATACAAAAGAACCTTTTGGCCTTAGAAAAACTCATTTCTTAAAATTTGTTTGTCATGTTCCAATTTAGTCTTAGCTTTATAAATCCTCGAACTCTCATAGGCATCATTTCTAAGTTCTTCCAACTCATTAAGTTGAAGTGTCCTACGTTCACTTGCTTAATCATAATCAAAGTTCATGGCCTTGATGGCCCAATAAGCACGATGTTCCAGTTCGATAGGCAAGTAACAGGCGTTGCTATAGACCAATCGGTATGGAGACATTCCTATAGGGGTCTTATAAGCAGTACGATAGGCCTATAAAGTATCATGGAGATGGAGACTCCAGTCCTTTCTTGTGGGTTTAACCGTTTTCTCTAAGATATGCTTGATCTCCCTATTGGATACCTCAGCCTGACCATTGGTTTGTGGGTGGTAAGATAGGGCTACCTTATGGGTGATCCCATATTTGGACATTAGGCTAGCAAAGACTTTGTTACAGAAATGTGAACCATTATCACTGATTATGGCTCGAGGTGTACCGAAGCGAGACAAAATGAAATCTTTCAAGAATTTCACCACAACCCTATGGTCTGTTGTCTCCTTGGTTTGAGATCAAACCTGAAAATGAATTAAAATCTGTGATGCATAGTCTAACTGAAGGAGTAAAAGACTTGACAAAAAAATTCAATGCTTTTGCACTCATGTCTACAAATGCACAATGCTATATGTGTTCTAGTTCATCTCATCCTAGTGAAGCATGTCCTGTCTATTCTACCTCTGAACCTTCAGATGCTCAAGTGTGTGCCTTTAATACCTATAGGAGACCGACTGCTAATACCTTTAGCCAAACTTACCATCCTGATACTAGAAACCATCCTAATTTTTCTTGGCAACAAAATTTGCCTCCCCAAAACTTAGGTGGTCATCCCGGTTTCCAAGGTAATTCCAATAGGCAACCCCAATCTTAAGGTTTGCTCGTTCCTCAATGTCAGTTCCCACAGAACCAACATGTTTCCAACTATGAGGACACTCTGAAGATGCTTGCCCTTAATCTCGACCAATCAAATAAGCAATCTACTCAGAGAATTCAAAAGCTAGAAAGTTACTTTGACCTTTTATCTCAGAACCAACTGCAATTCCAACAGTCCATGCAAAATTAGTTGAGTTAACTCACTTCCGTTTTGTCTGAACGACAAAGAGGTACCTTGCCTAGCCAACTTGAAATCAACCTTCAAGCCAAAGGGGTTCATCACATTGAAACTTCCTCTTCCACTGACCAATCCAATGGCCATGTGAATTCCATCATCACGCTTAGGTCAAGGAAACAAATTGATAATAAGGTTGAGCTACCTACCCAACATGAACATGAACCATCCGAGTCTCGTGCATTAAACCCTCCAAAAGCAAAAAAAGACCGAGATTCTCAAATTAATAATCCTATTCTTCTGCCTTATGTTCCACCTGCACCTTTCCCTTCCCGACTAGTTAACAATAAAAAGGATTTGCAATACAGTGAAATCTCAGAAAATTTTCAAAATCTTCAGATTAATATTCCATTTCTCACTGCCATCAAGCAAATTCCTTCTTATGCAAAGTTCATCAAAGACTTAGTCAAGAGGAAAACCCACATCCCAAAGGAAGTCTTCATAGCCCAACATTGTTCCTCATTCTTACAAAACCAAGCTATAGTCAAACATAAAAACCCTGGTAGTCCGACTATCACTTGTAGGATTGGCGACACTTTTGCTGACCAGGCCCTATTGGATTTAGTTGCTAGTGTGAACTTGCTACCTTATTCTGTGTACCAAGAGTTAGGATTAAACAATTTGAGGAAAACCGATGTTAGAATCCAATTAGCTGATCGATCAGTTAAGACTCCAAGGGGTATCATTGAGGATGTGATTGTCAAAGTGGCCGATTTTTATTATCCAATCGACTTCATTGTTCTAGACACCCAACCTACTCAAGGTAAACAGATTCCCATCATTTTAGGTTGCCCATTCTTAGCTACCGCCAATGCATTGATCGATTGTAGAAATGAGAACATGACTTTAACCTTTAGAAATATGAAAGTGGAAGTGAATGTGTTTAGTTTGATGAAACAACCCCCTGACTCAGATTCTATTGAAGAAGTTTGTCTTGTTGAGTCATTGACCGCTAAAACCTTTGAGTAATCCTACCCAGAGGATCCACTCCACCAATGTCTAGCTCATTTTGGTGCTAATTTTGATGAGGATAATTATATTGGAGAGATCAATGCCTTATTAGATTCCACTCCAATCTTTGACACACCCAAGTATCGACTCCACTTTGAATCATTGTCTTCACCAAATAACCCTAACTCTGAAACCGTGAAAGAGTCTCCTAAGGTCGAATTAAAGCTTCTCCCTGAGACTTTAAAATACTCTTACCTAGGTAAATCTGATACTTTTCCTGTGGTGATCGCATCTGACCTAACCAACAACTAGGAGACCCAGCTACTTGAGGTGCTTAGGGCGAATAAAGAAGCCATAGGTTGGTCTATTGATGATATCAAAGGCATTAGTCCTTTAGTGGTGCAATATCGTATTCATTTGGAGAATGATGCTAAAACCTGTAGGCAACCCCAGAGGAGACTAAATCCTAACTTGAAGGAAGTTGTCCGTACAGAAGTTATCAAACTCCTTGATGCCGGTATCATATATCCAATCTTTGATAGCCAGTGGGTAAGTCCAGTCCAAGTGGTTCCTAAGAAGTCCGGCATTACTGTCGTTCCTAATGATCGTAATGAGTTAGTTCCTACCCGTGTCCGAACAGGATGGCGAGTTTGCATTGACTATCGAAAGCTCAATAGTGCAACTAGGAAGGATCATTTTCCTCTACCATTTATTGACCAAATGTTAGAGAAATTGGCCGGTAAATCTTTCTATTGCTTCTTAGATGGTTATTCTGGCTATAATCAAATCCCTGTCCACCCTGATGACCAACACAAGACCACTTTTACCTGCCCATTTGGTACATTTGCTTATCGTCGTATGCCATTTGGCTTATGCGATGCACTCGCTACATTCTAGTGGTGTATGATGAATATCTTTAGTGATATGGTTGATAAGTTTTTAGAAATTTTCATGGATGACTTCTCTGTCTTTGGCTCGTCATTTGAACAATGTCTGCACTATCTTACTCTCGTGCTTCAGCATTGTCGTGATACTAACCTCGTTCTTAATTGGGAAAAAGTCATTTCATAGTCCAAAAAGGAATTGTCCTAGGTCATACCATCTCTAGTGCCAGAATCGAGGTAGATAAAACAAAAATTGATCTTATCTCCAATTTACCCATTCCCAAAATTGTACGAGATATTCGAGCTTTCCTAGGTCATGTTGGTTTTTATAGGCGTTTCATCAAAGACTTCAGTAAGATCGCACGGCCTTTGACCCATCTTCTAGCTAAGGATGCCCCATTTGAGTTTACCGATGCTTGTCACTCTACTTTTGAGCAATTAAAAACCGTACTCACTACTGCACCCATAATTCGGTCACCTGATTGGAACCTACCTTTTAAGATCATGTGTGATGCATCAGATTATGCAGTCGGGGCTGTTTTAGGGCAAAGAGTTGATAGAGCACCCAATGTCATCTACTATGCTAGTAAGACCCTGAATGATGCCCAATTCAACTACTCAACCACTGAAAAAGAATTGTTGGCGGTAGTGTTCTCCTTTGACAAATTTTGCTCTTATTTGATAGGATCTAAGGTCATCATTTATACCGATCATGCTGCGTTGAGACATCTTCTCTCCAAGAAAGATGTCAAACCTAGGTTGGTATGATGGATCTTACTCCTTCAGGAATTTGACCTTGAAATCCGTGATAAGAAAGGCTCTACGAATGTAGTCGCTAATCATTTGTCTCGTCTAGTTGTTGATTCGATTAATAATTCTCTTCCCATCTCTGATTATTTCCCTGATGAACAACTTTTTGCGGTATCTCCTGCACCATGGTATGCCGATATTGTCAATTACAATGTCACAAGTCAAACCCCTTCTACTTGGTCCAAGCAAGAAAGAGATAAATTCCTAACTAAGGTTAAGGAATATTTTTGGGATGACCCCTACTTGTTTAAGTATTGTCAAGATCAAATTATCCGTAGGTGTGTCCCCGAAGTAAACCAAGAGTCCATCATTTCATTCTGTCATGATCAGGCCTGTGATGGCCATTCTAGCTCTAAAAGGACCGCTGCGAAAATCTTACAATAAGGCTTTTATTGGCCCACCCTTTTTAAGGACACCTATACCTACTGTGTCGCATGTCCTAGATGCCAACTCGTAGGTAAGATTACCAAAAGGAATGAATGGCCCCAACAATCCATACTAGTGGTATAAATCTTTGATGTTTGGGGTATTGACTTCATGGGACCCTTTATCTCTTCATATGGGTGTACCTACATCCTTTTGGCAGTTAATTATATGTCCAAATGGGTAGAAGCCTTAGCCACAAAGACAGCAGACCATAAGGTTATGGTGAAATTCTTGAAAGACTTCATTTTGTCTCGCTTCGGTACACCTCGAGCCAAAATCAGTGATAATGGTTCACATTTTTGCAACAAAGTTTTTGCTAGCCTAATTTCCAAATATGGGATCACCCATAAAGTAGCCCTATCTTACCACCCACAAACCAATGGTCAGGCTGAGGTATCCAATAGGGAGATCAAGCATATCTTAGAGAAAACGGTTAAACCCACAAGAAAGGACTAGAGTCTCCGTCTCCATGATGCTTTATGGGCCTATCTTACTGCTTATAAGACCCCTATAGGAATGTCTCCATACCGATTGGTCTATGGCAACGCCTGTCACTTGCCTGTCGAACTGAAACATCGTGCTTATTGGGCCATCAAGGCCATGAACTTTGATTATGATCAAGCAGGTGAGCGTAGGATACTTCAACTTAATGAGTTGGAAGAACTTAGAAATGATGCCCATGAGAGTTCGAGGATTTATAAAGCTAAGACTAAATTGGAACATGACAAACAAATTTTAAGAAATGAGTTTTTCCAAGGCCAAAAGGTTCTTTTGTATAACTCCCATCTTGTATTGTTTCCAGGGAAGTTGAGGTCACGATGGTCTGGTCCATATTATGTACACCATGTTGCTAGTCATGGTGCCATTGAGGTACAAGATCCCAAAACTGGAAAGCTGTTTAAAGTCAATGCTCATCGTTTAAAACCTTTCCTTGAGTTTGAGGCTCATGTCATTGAGGACATTTTCCTCATCAATCCGGTCTATTCAGACTAATCTCTTTTGGGGGAACTTTCCCAATTGCGTCTGGCTGAAGACATTGAATTCAGGGCTCCTGGGAGGCAACCCAGCCGGTTGTGTCTATTCAGTTACCTTAGATTGATTTTTGAGTCTTAACTAGTTGTATCTTACTCCTACTCATTAGCTCCATAACTGTTTAGTATTTGAATATGGTTATATTTTGTTTGGGGGTGCTATATTTATCTGATATGGTTTTCGATTGTTTTCCATAACCTCTTTTGCAGAAATTGTACTCCACATCGAACCAAGTGAGGTAATATGTTCCAATGTTTCTCTATATATCTCCACCTATACTTGTCCATTTAATTTCCATATTCTTTGGTTCCAACACTAGGGACAGTGTTGTCTTTTGTTTGGGGGTGGGGCAATGATTTTATTTCATTGGAAATTATAAGTTGAATTGCATGTCATGTCAAATTTGAGTGAATTATTGTTCATGTATGATTGGGAATTGGTATTTTAGAGCAGTTTTGAATCTTTAATTCATGTTTTAGTGTATGTGGTCCACATCATTGTCCAGTTTGACTATTGTTAATGATAATTAGTCTCTAGCGTACTTCACTTCTCACAGATGCACACTAGTATCTTTTTGTGGGGTATAGGCCTAACCTTATGTGATATATTGCATGTGTTGGATACAAGTTAGTAGACCTTGAAAAGTAGATGTCCTTGGCATGATGATAGAGAAATGTGCATGATTAGTTAATACCTTTCACGAAGTAACCGGGCCTTTTGCCTCAGTAAGTAGTGAGTGTTCGCGTTAAAAAGTGGAGGGTCGGGAAAAAATGAAAGTGTTGGTTTAGGTTCGAAGCCTAGTTGACTTGAGTTAATAAGCTCTTTTGGGTGTCTTTACACCTAATACCCTAAAACCGTCTGGTTGGGAGTCATTAGCCTAAAGCTCGTTACATGGGTCATCTAGAAAGCTTAAGGAACTTAAACATTGCATAGCTTGCTGTCTTCAAAAAAAAAAAAAAAAGACGAAGAAAAAGAAGAAAAAGAAAAAGAAAAGAAAAGAAGAAGATGATGATGAAAGAAAGAAAGATGAAAGATTCACATGCATAAGTAAAGTCATGAGTTCATGCCTTAGGTATTTTAACTTGGATGGGAATATTAATGATTTGAAACTATTGTAATGTGTAATATAAGGACAAAAGGGTAAAACACATAATTGGATGCTAGTTCACTTCAAAAGGAAACTAGGGATTGATTGTTATTGGAAATATGTTGAATTGAACTTTGTGTGGGGACCATAGTATTATTGCATGTAATTAGAGGTTTGGGATTGCTAGAGAATATTAATCTTTCTTATACTTGACAAAATAGCTAACTTGATGATGATGTGTATGTAATAGATTCCGATTCCATGGAAGTAATTGAGCTAAGTGCAAAGTGTGCACAATTTTGGATGTTTGTGGGTATCATCTCTGAAAACTCTCACGAGGCTATAGCTCGTTTACTAGGGTAACCTAGGGGTTTAAGGCCTTATTGCATATGGTAAATGCAATCGAAAGTAGCCTGGGAAAGTGGCATATTTTTAGTCAGGAGTCAATTAAAGTAACAATTTTGTAAACTTATCCCTTTTTGCCTTTAATTGCTAGAGGACTAGCAAAAGCTTGTTTGGGGGTAATTTGATAAGTGCACAAACTTGTTATTTTATACTTTATAATAAATGATTAATTAATATTTTTTATTAGATAACTGTTCTTATCCCTGCTTTTCATGTTTTATAGGGGCTGATTTCGGAATAAGAAGAAAAGAAACAAAAATAGCAAAAATGTGGGATTATACGATCAATTAAAGTCAACTTAAGAAATTGCCTTTTTCATTAAATCAGCAAAGATCAAGCCAATTTGGAAAATATATCAAGACAGATTGGAAAGCACGTTAAGTCAAAGATCAGACCAAATTGGGAAGCAGCAAGATTTTAGGAAGATTTTATTTTATTTTATTTTATTTTATTTTTATTTTCACTTCTGTAATTAGAATTTTCCCCTCCCAATCGTTCCATTCTAAACTCTATAAATAGAGACATATGTAGAGGAGGTTGATGTACATTGTTAGTGAGATAAAATAATAAAAGTTACAGAGAATTTTTGTCTTCAGTTTATTTCTTATAATTTTTGTTATGAAAATTATTTTTATTTCTTTATTTTGTTTTCTTATTATGCTAGCTTAAATACCCCCTTATCAAGGGAGTGATGAAGCCATCATGGCTGAAATATAAGTAAATTTAGTTTAATTCTTTTATAAAAATTTTTCTTGCATTATTTTACTCTTCTATTCTGTGTTTATTTTGATAAAAAAATTAGGGAAAGGATTTTTCGTGTTTGCCAATTAATGGTAATTCGGATAATGCCTATTTATATTTACCAAAGATATATCAGATTAAGTAAAATATGTTCTCAAGCAATTGTTATTTCACGCTATTATTTTCCTTCATCTTTCCAAGTTGTAATTGGACTGGTGAAGTGATTTGCTTATAATAGGAAAATTTACGTAAAAGAAATATACAAATTTATTTATAGTAAGCTGTGGTGGTGGATTCTTTCCTTGAGACTTTTCTTATTATTTAATCATAATTTATTTGTCTTAATTATTAATTTTATTTTTAGTTCATTAGAAAAAACTATTAAATTGTTTTAAAGTTATTCTTTTTTAAATTTTGGTTTTAATTTTGATTAACGAGTTTAAATCTTGTATGGTTCGACCCTGCTTATTCTATACTATCTTTAATTTAGTTTTTGCAGGTTTTTCTTATTT